TTTGAGACGGAGTTTTGCTCTTGTTACCCAGGCTGGAGTGCAATGGCACGATCTCGGCTCACCGCAACCTCCGCCTCCTGGGTTCAGGCAATTCTCCTGCCTCAGCCTCCTGAGTAGCTGGGATTACAGGCACGTGCCACCATGTCCAGCTGATTTTTTGTATTTTTAGTAGAGACGGGGTTTCACCATGTTGACCAGAATGGTCTCGATCTCTTGACCTCGTGATCCACCCGCCTCGGCCTCCCACAGTGCTGGGATTACAGGCTTGAGCCACCGCGCCCGGCCTATTTTAACCATTTTTAAGGATAGGGTTGAGTGACATATCCATTCCTCTTGTGTAGCCATCACCCCTATGAGTTTGAATAACTTCGCTAGGCTGGGAATCTGCGTTTTGTCTTCGTGGCCCAGCTGTCCATATTTACCTAAGCGAAACCAGACCCTTTGCATCTTCTCCACTGGGTCTTGCTGCTTTCCCTCCAGGAAGGAGCCCAGACTATCCAATGAGACGCTGGGATTATGCGTCATTGCTCTGTGAATCCAGGAGACCCAGAGCCAGGTAACCTGGGGATCCTCGAGAGGCCAGTGGCGACCAGCCACTCCAGGCTTCCCTGCTACCCAAGCTAAGATGTTCAGAGCACACATTTCCATTGTATCTTTTTCTCTATCCAGTGTCAGATCCGCAAAACGATGCTTTGTAAATGCTGGTTGGACACTTCCTTCAGTGTTTCAGAGAGCTAGGTGGGTGGCACCAACAGGCCCGCGCCTGTAATCCCAGCACTTTGGGAGGCCAATGCAGGCAGATCACGAGATCAGGAGATCAAGACCATCCTGGTCAATATGGTGAAGCCCCATCTCTACTAAAAATACAAAAAAATTGGCTGGGGGTGGTGGCACACACCTGTAGTCCCAGCTACTTGGGAGGCTGAGGCAGGAGAATCATTTGAACCCAGGAGGCGGAGGTTGCAATGATCTGCAATCGTGCCACTGCATTCCAGCCTGGGCAACAGAGCAAGACTCTGTCTCAAAACAAACAAACGACAAAAAAAGAAAGCTATCTATTTTTGGACCCACCAATTCTAATTCTGGTAGGAGAATTGCTTGAACCCAGGAGGTGGAGATTGCAGCAGGCCAAGATCGTGCCACTGCACTACAGCTTGGGCAACAGTGCAAGACTCCATCTCAAAAAAACAAAACAAATGAAACCATGGGCTTGGAAATGCCTTGATATTTATTGATCGAGCTGTACACTGAGCCCAGGCCTAGCCCTTTTAAGGGGCCCTGTGTGGAACAGCGCGGGTTTCCCAGATCCAAACCTATCACTCTTCACCATTCGGTCCTCGAGCTGGTGTGAAGCTTGCGATGCTAACCAGCAGTGACAGCAGGCCATCAAGGAGCAGGCCCACGTCACTCAGGTGAGGCTTTGCAGAGGGAGCCATGTGGAAGGAAGATGACCCAGGTGGCCAGGAGCAGGTGAGGACCAGTGACAGCTCTTCCCACCCTCTGTGCATTCTTGCAGGTGATGGGAGTCAGTTAACTGAGTCCAGATAGAGAGGGATGAATATGAGAACATCTAAAAGGAGAGAGGGCCATGTGGCGGCAGAGGACGAGGGAGATGTCAGAGCAGGTGAGACCAGACCCTTCAGCCCCACCTTAGAGAGGTCATTTGTTCTTTTCAGGCATCAGCGAAATTCGAGGAGCACAGCCAGAGGTGGTCATGGGTCTGGGCTTTGTGGATGTGGGGGCGGAGAGGGAGATGGTAGCCTGTCCAGCCACCAGCCCCTCTCCAGGGCCCTTTCTGACTGTGCTTTGGGCAAGTTCAAACATTGAAGAAGGAGAAAAAGCATGACACGCATCGAATACAGGAGCTAGAGATGAGCTTGGCCGAACTGAAGTGCCACATGGGTAGGCTGAGGCTGGGGTGACCTGGGAGCAGGGCTGGGGATGGCTGAGAGTGTCCCAGGGAGGTGGGTGGATGAAAGACCTCTTTCCCTTTGAGGCAGAGGGAAAGAGGTCTGTGCCAGGAGACGGCAAGTCTTGTCATCTCCACGAGCCTCAGTGTCCCCATCAGCAAAGAGGAAGAGTGCCCATTGTCAGCCACCCACAGTTGTCTTTGTCTGAAAGTGGCTTGGAAGACTGGCTGCCATCGGAGTTCGAGGAGTCATTAGCAGGGTGGCCAAGTTTGGGGAGCCTTTGAGCAGATCTGCGCTTTGAAGGAGGAGAAGAAGCCTGACCTGCGTCGTGTACACGAGCTGGAGACAAGCTTGGCCCAAACTCAAAAACCAGATGGGTAAGCTGGGGCTGGCGTGAGCTGGGAGCAGAGCTGGCAGAGGGCTGTGGACCAAGAGGAGGGCTTTTTGGAGAATCCAGAGGCCCTTTATGCCCGCTCCCTTTCTCAGCTGAACTCCTGCCCTTGGAGCCCCCAGCAGGGCCCTTGGAGGCGGAGGCCGAGCACCTGCGGAAGGAGCTGGAGAATCTGGTAGGGCCGCTCTAAGCTCAGGTGCAAGTCAGTAAGGGATTAGTCGCCTGAACCCCGAGCCGGAGGAGAGTCTGCGGGAGCCGGAGCAGGAGGAGAGGCTGCTGGAGCAGGAGCAGAAGGCTGAGCTCTGGGAGGAGCAGGGGGAGGCTGCAGGCGAACCGCTCACAACGAACGCACCACAGCCGCGTGCTCTCCCAGAACCCCGAGCTCCAGGAGCAGTTGTCACAGCTGAAGGAGCCGGTGATCCCCGCCCCCACCAAGAAGGGCTGGGAGGCAGGCACCAGCCTCTGGGGAGGGGAGGTGCCAGGCCAGAAGCAGCTCCAGCCTGGGGGACAGGGAACCCCAGCACCCTCCAGGGCAGTGCTGTGACTGTTTCTTGCTTCCTGCCCTGACTTTTAGGGGTGGGTAGCCCTGGGTTCCTCCCAGGTCTGGACATCATCATCCTAGCTAGAGGCATGGAGCCCCCTAATCACGGGGAAAGAGACAGTGGTATAAGAGGCCCCTTAAGGCGGGGCATGCTGGCACAGGCCTGTAGTCCCAGCTACTTGGGAGGCTGAGGCAGGAGAATTGCTAGAACCCGGGAGGTGGAGGTTGCAGTGAGCTGAGATTGTGCCACTGCAGTCTAGCCCGGGTGGGGGGAAGAAGTTGAGACTCTATCCAAAAAAAAAAAAAAAGAGGCGCTTTAAGCTGGGTGTGATGGCTCATGCCTGTAATCCCCAGCACTTTGGAAGGCTGGGGGGAGAATCCCTTGAGGTCAGGAGTTTGAGACCAGGCTGGCCAACACGGCAAAACCACGTCTCTACTAAAAATACACACACACACACACACACACACACACACACACACACACACACACACACACACACACACACACTAGCTGGACATGGCGGCACACGCCTGTAGTCCCAGCTACTCGGGAGGCTGAGGCAAGAGAATTGCTTGAACCGCGGAGGTGGAGGTTGCAGTGAGCTGAGATTGTGCCACTGCACTCCAGCCTGGGTGACAGAGCAAGACTCCATCTCAAAAGGAAAAAAGAAAAAAGTTATGGAAAAAACTTATGAAAAAAAGGTATGGGATAAAAATAAAAATAAGGCTGGGCACAGTGGCTCACGCCTGTAATCTCAGCACTTTGGGAGGCTGAGGTTGAGGGATCACTTGAGGTCAGGAATTCCAGACCAGCCTGGCCAACATGGTAAAACCCCATCTGTACTAAAAATACAAAAATTAGCTGGGCATGGTGGTGCTTGCCTGTAATCCCAGTTACTGGAGAGGGTGACACAGGAGAATCCCTTGAACCCGGGAGGCAGAGGTTAAAGTGGGCAGAGATCGTGACACTACTCCCGCCTGGGTAACAGCAACAAAACTGTCTCAAACCAACAACAACAACATAAAGGCAGGGCGCTGTGGCTCACACCTGTAATCCCAGCAGTTTGGGAAGCTGAGGCAAATGGAT